TTAAAAACTATTATTTTGATATTTGTTTTACCAAAATGGTTTTAACCATATTAAAAAAAATACTGCATACAACAACAAAATATCTTAACTAATATCAAGGATTTAAAATTATTTTTATGTTCACGTGACAACAAAGATACTTTATCAACATTAACTGTTATAGACTATTCAGTGCAGGATAAACTAAAATATTCATCTTACAACCAATTTGTAAGTCAGTGACTAAAAGCTTAATAGTTCAGTTGAAAATGATGCCATTTTGTCAAACTGGTGCAAGATGAGAAAAACAATCTTCTGCCTGCCAATGTCAGTTGACACTTTTGCACACTTGATAAGTTTTATTAGTCATTTACCTGATTGGGTTTTAGTGTTTTTTATTGTTTTCTTTGGCATGAAAAGGACACAAACTAATAGTTAGTGTCTCACTCCAGCACTATAAAGACATTACATTATTAGTGACTTAAGATTTCAGCATTTTGTTGCATCAAATATTTCCTTATTAAGCATTCATTATAAATTTGATGCTAAGCAATTAAAGCTCCCATTACTTGATTCTCACATAATATATTCCAAAGTTGATTTAGATTCATACTGATATGAAGGTTTATAAACATTAATTTTTTTCTCTCACCTCAACACTGTTAGCTAGGTGCAGGGGTAATCCACCATCTTTTGGACTTTTTGATGATGAAGATATGGATCTCATAAGCCTTAGTAAAAAATAAACAGACATTTAGGTTTTGTAAGAGTTACTTCAGGTTATTATTATTATTACTTGTATACTAGAAAAAGGTAATCCCATTATACTATATAAATAGAGTAATTTTACAGCATTTAATGAAGATTTTAGAATTGAAACAGCTTGATTAAAAAAATTAAAGATTCCTCAATTTTCATTTTCAAAAGCCATATCCTATTAATCTTTCAATGTAATAATGGGCAATAGAAATGTATTTTCACACTAGTTTTACAAATATAATGTTAAACATCATAACCCTGGCAAAAAAACCTATACAATAAAAGCAATGTGAAAAGAACAAGTGATATAATGTGATTATAACTTCTTTTTTTCTGGTTCTGGCCATATAGTCATAAAACTATGTCAGTAACAATAAGTACAACAGCAAACACTGTAATACACTTCTTTTGTTTCTGCTGGAAGAAAAATCTTTGAGTTAATTTTTCAATAAATTCAATCATATCTATCTTTCTCTCTATATATTTTTACAAATGAAAATAAATATAGAAGAGGTACAGTTAAACAAGTCTTTTACATCAAGTGGAAGATAAGCCTTAAAAACAGCCTGACAAAACCTTAGATGATAAATGCAGTACATGTCACATGGTGAAGAAGTATAAAATGTACAATCCTATGAAACAGCAGGCAAATTCCTTGACTTCTTTTTTATCGGGTTTTTTGTTACCGTGCTTCATGAAAAGGTGTATGCACATGCATGTGGATAAGTAATAATACCCAGGTGCACACCCTCAGGGGCCACTTAGTGTGGGTGCAAAATTTTAGGTTTCTAGGTTCTTTCCTCTTGGAGCTATGGTAGTCACACACACAGACAGAAAATTTTATTTATCATTATTATATATATATATATATATATATATATTTATATGTGTGTGTGTGTGTGTGTGTGTGTGTGTGTGTGTGTGTGT